GAGAGAGAAACAGCATGAGAGGGGATAGGGTCAGAGGGAGAAGCAGGCTCCCCGCCGAGCCGGGAGCCCAATGCGGGACTCGATCCCAGGACTCCAGGATCATGACCTGAGCCGAAGGCAGTCGCTTAACCAACTGAGCCACCCAGGTGCCCCCACTCTACATTTGTTATGCACTCTGGATAACAAATGTTTATCCAGCACCTACTAAACACCTGGCACTGCGCACTATAAGCCAGGAGTTTCCAAACATCGCGGCGCCCAAATACATGTTAACACCACAGCCTGGTCCCCTGAGCTTAATATCTCCACACACCCCAACCAAAATTCACAAAACATTCCCTACTGCCCATAACACACTCTGATAGTCCCTATACTATTTTATGCCTTTTCTGATTCTCAATAAATATTGAATATTGGGGGAGGGGATATCAGAGTGACCGAAAGGGGGCATTCGTGGGAGGTGCTTGGTCTCACTATTGATACACGAAGGTGTTCAGTTTGTGAAACTTCATCAAGCTGTACCTCTATGACTCGTACGCGTTTCTCTATGTTCATTATACTTCGATAGAACGCCTTTTAAAATCACTGCATAAGGAATACAGGATGGATACCCTCTGGAGTTTACAACCTAGTTGGAAAGATAAGACAAACACACCTGAAGCAAAGAAATCTAGACAAGACCTAATCAAGAGAAAGCTGGGGGAACGAATATCAGTCACCCAAAGGACCCCGCAGTGTGCTCGCTCCATCTCCTGCAAAGCGGAGTCTGATCAGGAGACCCTGGCCTGGGACACCCTGGAGTCCATTCCGACTGACACCCTGGGGGAGATCCAGGATGAGGAGAAGCTGATGAGAGGAATGGCAGGTCTCACAGGCAGTGGGCCCCTGCCTGTCAATAAATGGGAGCTGGGATTATCACCCTGAACACTGCCAGGTCAGGAGGGCTCTAGGGAGGAGGTGATGCCTGAATGGGGCCTTCCTTGAAGGCCAGTTATAAACAGAAGAAGAGAAAACCAGGCAAAGGATGGGACATCTTAACAAGAGCAATGAGTTCTGGGCAGGTACGGAAGGCAAACGCCCACACCAGGGACAACCCACTGAACAGGACTGGTGGCCCATGGAGGACCACTCCCGCAGCTCAGTCGGCAGAGCAGGAAATGGGCCCAACCGAAGAGACCCCACTGTAGGAAGGGCCCAAGGAAGAAGCCTCTGGCAGTCACGTGTCCCGGCCGCCTCCTCTGGGTTCCCTTCCGCCCACTTCAACCGGATGCCTACGAAAGTCCTTTCAAGCCCTCGAGAGCCCTACCTGCCAGCCCCGCCAGGACGACCAGCATGGCCGGGATGCCTCTCCAGCTGCCCTCCATCTCCACACGTTTTCTTCACCCCTGGGAAAACAAAGCAGGCAGGTGACAATCTACCACGGATGAACATTTGCCATTCAGAGTACGCGGAGCCCCTACCAGCTCATGTGTCTGTGGATGGGTTAGTCAGAGCTTCTCAGCATGGTCACAGCCTCACCCCACACCTGCTGCATCAGAAGCTCCAGGGGCAAGCCCAGAAATCTGTGTAAGCAATGCAACAAGGAGTCAGTTCCGGCACGTGCTCAAGTTTGAGAATCACTGTGTTAGCTGACCTTACTCCCAAGCCCGTGTATAAATCATGGAATGCAGATGGTATGCCATTCCCGCGGAAGCCCTCACCAAGATGCAGGGGCGTGGGCTTCCGGCTCTTCATTTCAGTCACGATGTTTTAATCACTGAGGGAAAAAGAAATCCTGTGCACAACAAGTTCACATTATTGGAAGGGAAACAGGCAACAAAATGAAAAAACAGAACATAAACTTATTAGAAGGTGCCAAAGGTATGTAGCAAAATAGAACAGGAGAGTGTGTACAAGTGGTTATGTGTGGGGGGTGGACTGGCTATGACCACAACTAGGGAAACTGGAGAAAGGCTCCCGAGAAGGTGTTCTGTGAACAGTGAAGGAGGAGAGCTTGCCAGCCACGCGGGTATCTGCCGAGGAGCTTTCCAAGCAGAGGAGCAACAAGTACAAAGGCCCTGGGGTGGGACCGTGCCTGGCATGTTCGAGAGGGCTCTGGGGCTGGGGCAGAGTGAGGGCAAGGGAAAGGGCTCAGAGAGGTCAGAGTTAGAGGAGGCCAGGGTAGACTGAGGAAGGCCTTACGGTCCCCTTGGCAGCACAGGGGGATCCTGCCATGTACACCTCCTGGCCCTTCCTTCCAGTCCCTTGTTCTTGGATAACCCTCTTGCTCACCCTCCATCCCCGCATGTTGTCTTTTGATTTTCCCCTTCTCCCCTGCGACAGGCCTATGCAATGCAGTCACCAGCCCCGTGAAGTCCCACTGGAGCATTTAAGGTAAATCACCCACTGAACAGGTCGGGAACTGTCCGCAAAAACGACAGCCCCTTAGTCTCAGAAAAGGGTCTTTTTCTTTCAAACATTCTTCAACACCACCGTGTGGTGCACAGCACCCTAACCAGGGGATGGTTTTCTGTGGCTTTGGCATCCACACGGATTTCACAGCCCCATCAGCTCGTGGGAGGGAGTGGGAGGAACCCTGGGGAACCCATCCAAACCCTCCAAAATGTGGGGCGCTGGGTTCCGCCAGAGACACCCCCTCCCCCGTGGGATTTTGGAATGAGCTGACACCTGTCCCGGGCTTCAGTCCCCTTTCTTCCGGTACAGACCGAAAGAGACAGACCCCACAGCAACCCACAAGCGGAAATACAAGCAGGGAAACAGGGCACAGATTAACAACCGCCACACCTCAGTCTGCAAAACACACATCATACAGGTTGCCGAATAAAACCGAGGGGTAGTGTGAAGCGTCGTAAAGACGCTCAGGCCTGTAACCCCTTTTCCATTCAGGCGAGATACTGGGTATTCACAGCTCATGAGGAGGAACATAGGCTTTCCACCCTCTTTGATTCCCTGGTGTGTTGGGAAAGCAAAACTCAGCATGTGTGCTAAACTATAACCACCCGTGTGCATAACGTAAGGTTCAAAGTATG